CAATATTTTACCCTCTTTGAAGAATTTTTAAAGTTGAGCTTGGAGCTTGGCAAAACGCTATACTGCCATAGAGTAGTCCTAGGCATTTGAGAGTATCGGTCCATTCTATTTCTTGTGCTTCTACCTTTAATTTTCTGGATGCTTGGCGGTTTTTTACTGATTTTACTGAAGAGGTTGAATTGTTCACTTTGACTTGAAACGACCTTTTATTTAAGAAACTGCCTATGAGCTTGATAATAGATGGCGGAAAGTTCTGAGCAGCCATTTTCACAATTAGGCCCGAGTGCCAGACTTTGTCAAAGGCTTTAGCGACATCAAAAGAGATAAGACCAGTCGACGTCCTTCTTCTAAGTGCAGATTGTATATGTTGTGCTATTTTGGTCAATTGTAATTCTGTTGAGTGGTTGTCTCTGTAGCCAAATTGCTCATCAGGGATGATATTATTCGAGCTTAGGTGGTCTTTCAATTTTGCCAGAATGACTCTTTCTGCTACTTTCCCCAGAGTAGGAAGCAAGTTCATGGGACTCCAATTCTGTGGGAACTTCAGGTCCTTGTTTGGTTTAGGAAGCATAATGACCTTCGCTTTTTTCCAACAAATAGGGAAGTACCCAAATTTAAGAATTGCATTGGTTATTTCCGCTACTTTGGTGAGGACGTTTTCTGGAAGGTTTTGAAGACAGATGTTGCCGATACCATCATAACCCGGGGCAGATACTTAAAAGAGTTTACGTTTATTTGGACTCTTTACTGTTTGAGTCTTTCCAGATGTTACGAACCGCAACAGCGAGAGAAATGCAGCTTTTCAATTAATTGCCTCAAATGAATCTGAGATATCAGACATAAGTTTTATTTTTCCATAAGTTCGAGCTTAAATTGAAGAAAATCGCAAAAATATTGAGGTTGCAGCAGTAGCAGCAATAAACTAAGATATTTAAACATTCTTATTAGTATTAGAATCAAGACATTTACAGATTACAAATTTAGGCATTATATTGGATAGTGACTTTGAATATCTATTCAGTTACGAAATGCTTTTAAAATTATTTACATTTCAATTTAAAATGAAATTACTTTAATTTGCCATAAATTTTCCAATGATACAGTAATGTTTTGTATATCACGAATACTTGCTATTCTTAGTTGAACTTCATACTTGGCTCACATAACTTCTAATAATTTCATAATTCCTGTTGAAATAACAGACAATTGAGCAGCAATAAATAGGAGCATTTCTATACAATCATTTACAGGAACAACTCCTGAGGCGGTTCCTCTTAAGAACGCAGTGTTGCTTAAAAAGTACTCAATATATACTCTGTTCCTCGTTCGCATGGAATGATACCAGCTCTGCGGGAGCAAACCTTTATGCAAATGCAATTAACTACCATGGCTTCAATGCCATTTGAGGCTGCCAGCAAGAAAAAAGTACGTCAAGCGATTTCTGCATTTTCATAAATTCATTATTATACGAGCTCATATCACTCCTCCAACTTATATTCAGCGTAATGGATTGCGTTTGTCTTTCAAAGCACATTTTCAGCACTAACAAACTTCAGTAAAAAAAAATGAAAAAAAAAATGTGCATTAACCTCGGAAAAACTAAAAAAAATGTAGAGACTGTAAGGTTCAAAGTTTATTGAAGTTGGATATTTTGGATCCACAGATATGTTGAACTTTAACTTTTAAGTGCTAAGGTCGGCATTATTGTAGCGTAATGTGATATGTGTGGTGTTGTACCCATGTACCCATTTGCACTGTCAACAAGAAGCGATTGTGATTATATGGCATGTGCACTTGCATTATCCAGAGTTTTTTCTTATTATATGATTATTAACTAAGAGTACTTTCACAGTAACACTTGAAATTACCCTATTTGGCTTCAAAGCCATTCCATCCAAATGCGTGAACAATAAAACGATTTGTTCACACAAAATAAACGTTAAACAAGCAAATTTAATCTATCGTCAGAGCACTATTTGCAAATCCCGGTTACTTTTTAAATATAATTTACAACACATATTAAATGTTTTCCATAATTTAGTAACATATTCACAGGAATAGTTAGGTAAACTTCAGTTGATTCTTAGATCGATTTTTTTGGGAAGAGCTCAGTATGTATAGTCCACTTCCTTTCAAAGTTATTTCTTTAGGCTGAAAGAGAATATATATAAATTCCTGGTTTAATTAAGTTCATCACGTTGTAACACGATAACGACGTTTGCTCTGATGAGTTGTGTATATTTTTTAGGGGAAATTAAATAAAACGCAATAAATTTTTATGCTTCTTCAGGACCAACTAATGAAAATCGCATAGAAATCGCAGTATAAAGGCTGTTTGAGTGCACTAATGAAAAAATTAGTTAATTAAATTGAAAGTGCGAAAAAGCACGCCTTGAAGCAACTACGAAGATGAGGGACTGTTCGCAGTACTCTTCAACGACATGCTCCACCTCTTGTGCTGTAGAAGCACTTAAAACGGAAACCCCCGCAGCTGATCTTGTTTGATCAAAACATTGCAGGAATATTGATTGCTCGTTTTTTGTTAGGATATCTAAAATATATGAACGATGTATTAAATATTATAGTTAAGAGGGCTCTACAATTTTCTAATTAAATGTCTTTCGCTTCAATATAAATGATATTAATTCGTTTCAATTTAATTAATATTAGATATAATTTATCTCTTCAGTTTGAACTCTTCACTACATACTCGCATCAACGATCCACCTGAAAAACTTTTGTCAATATCCAGAGTCCCTTGATTCATTTCGTATCCGATGTATTCTATATTTAGGTTAGAAGATGTCATTGATGATTCTCTGCTTTTCTCTAAGATGAGGCAGCTGTTTCAATATTATCCTCAGTAACTTTAATCGTTTCATTACTTCGTCGGATAGAGATAAACATGTTTAGATTAGTGAAATATTAAGGATCTTGTTCCATCCAGATGTAACTGATGTGTTGACTGTAAATTGATTCTTTATAATATGTACGAACAATACTTTTGTAAAAAACAAATAATAAAATAATTGTCAAAGCATTAGATAAAAACTATTAATTAAAATTTTTGGCTTTTCAATTGTAATTACACAGCAGATATAAGATATTGTTAACTTAAATTTTCAGCAAAATACTATATTCAAGTTTTGGGACGCATAAAAAGTCAGTTGTTTTATTAAGTAACCCATGAAGCAAAATTTTATAATTACGGAGATGAATGGATAAGTACGTGCCTTAGCCGATGTTGTTCCAAAGACTTCCAAAATCGTTTTTGCCTTAAAACCCATATGGTCTAGTCTAAGTATATAGTTTTAATATGATGTAGTTAATATTCATTATTAATGGTTAGTTGGTTGTAGTAGGAGGCCATTAGATAACTTCCATGTACCTCAATCAGCGATTTTTCGCCGTTTTGCCACCACATGCCTCGCAAGAATCCATAGTATAAAAGCGTAGAGACTTAATCTATCCCATCGAATTTAAATGATGCCGATAACAGTCTGATAGACAGTCAAAGAAATATCTTCTTAAAAACCTATTTCTTCTGGGCACCAAAGTTGGGCATTCACAGAGAAAATGTCTTATGGTTTCTTTTTCCTGCAGGTTTTCAAAACTTTTGCTGTGATGATTATAAGGAATACGCAGTTTTTCTGCTTAAATTCCTATATACAAATGTCCAGAAAAAATTGTAGTGTTCATGCTAAAGTGTTCTTCTGATGAGTTCCAAGAACTTAATTTTATTTTAACATCAGTAACATGGCCCATATGCTAACCTGGAAGTTGCACATGACTTAAGTGTTTTCTATATGTTAGTATCAAGTTGAAAAATAAGTACTTCTGTTAATGGCCTCTAGGGTTATATATACCGGCGTCTCCAAGGACACATTCAGGAAAACACAAAAGCGAGCTAATTTGTCAGTCTACTCGTTCCCTTCGATGTTCCTATGCCCAGATACCCAGATTAGGGTGATGTCAGTCAACCAATTTAGCTCGTCAATTACCACTCTACATACTTTCACTATCTTCGCTTTTGTTGTGAATGATTCAAGGGCTTTGTTTGCTGCCTGGGTGACAATAAAGATGACCACACTACATCTGCCTTGATGTGACTTGCAATTTGCCATTCATTATTAATAGTAAACCATTTCTAGTTGAATTTATGTTAAATGTAAGTAACTAAACGCAATTAAGTAAACATTAATTTGTAATAAATCCATACCAAACAGACCTACCGGCCTATTACTAGATGTGTTTGTAAAATAAAAATAATCATAAAAGTTAGTCCGCATTTCATTCAGAAATTATAGAACAGGTTTCGATTTATAGTGAGCCAATTTAAGTCGAGGCAACTGAGAAATTGGTGTATCGAATATATTGGCGGCCAACACGCACATTAGTTGTCTACCTCTTACCGGTTTGTAGTCGGTATTGGTGCTAAAATGGTTTTGTTTTCTTCAATCGTTAGTCGCTAATCGTTTTCTTTAATGAACCATTAATGGCCGGAATAAATTCAAGTTTCAAGTTTCAAGTTTCGTTTTCGAAGTCGTTAATCGATGCCTAGGATGCAGTGAAGAGCAGCGGATAAACCTGTTGCGTTGCCATCATGGGAAATGTCCATCACTTGTGCGTCGCCATAGAAAGTAAATTGGAGTTGTCGTACAATAACAGAAAATAAGAGTTTTTGCTCTGAGCGAGTATAATAAATGTTTTGTCTTGATTTTAGTTGTGAAATTAATAGACTATGAACTAAAATTAGTTCGAAAGTTTTTGCAATTCAATAAAAAATAAAAATTTACTTATTAAACTAAATTTGTTCAATTTTATCACAATACCACCAAGTGAAACTTGATTGTATGTTGGAAATTTTAGTTCCAAAATTAACTAAATACTAAGAAAATGGAACTCTTCTGTTTAGAATGTATGATTTCTGTAATATATTGTATATGAAATCACATTACGTGTAAAATCACAGTTTCACTCAAGTCATTGTTGATAAAATAGTTTTCCTTTTAATATGTGTAATTCTTTATAAAAATAAATTGTATATAGTAACCGCATGATTATTCTATTATTCTGTCCAACATTTGGCTACGAGAAACCAAGATAGAAGTGATAATACATATGTACTTATTGCAGCGCAGACAGGTCACTGATCAGTGGGCACCTATGCCAAGTAATTGGTGATCCCTTTTAACCGGAAATGTCAAAGCTGTAAGGAAGAAGAGAAAAAAAACAACTAGAGAATTTCCTTGCAAATACACGGGTCTGGTTTTAGATGTTCCGCTATCGAATTGTAAGAGCTAATAAGACTGTCGGATATCCGAAACGTAGATCTCCAAAAAATGATTTTCTTTGTCAAATTGCTTCTGCGGTATAAAATATCGAACTTGTAAAGACTTCTTCAAGTCTTTATAAAGGCTATAATCTGTAACAATAGCAAGAAACAATCACTATATGATATGTAAGTTGATACATATTTTCCAGTATATATTACAGTGTGTTGAACTTATAAACAAAAACAATTTATTTTATGTGTTTTCCATGTTTTGTTGAATGGAAAACACATACTTCATATCAAAGTTATCTTCTCCAGATATGCTAGTATTCGATAAAACTGCAGTAATGATTGCAAATAAACTCTTATCTTTACTTTTAGAATGACAAGTTTCTTGAGATTGTTAGCCAAATGGCTTATATGGGGAATATTTGATTTGAGCAGTTTGACTGCCTTTGCCAATATTGATTCCACGCTGAAATATATGATAATACCTTTATTTGTTATATCGATTTGATACCAAGACAAACCAGTATATTTGTCGATCTGCAATACTTGAGGTATTAATGTAGTTGAAACAGAAGCTGTCTTAAGAGTGCCACACGATTTTTATTCATGACTCAAAAATATAAGATGCCTTAGTCAGAAAATCGAAATATTTGTAATTTACCTCCAATAATTTTTAAGCCTGTGATAGTTGGCTAATAATCAACAATAAATAATTATAATCTGTGGAATTAAGTAATTCAAGTCTAGCATTAAGATGTGGCGCCCAGCTTTAGGAGTTGTAGCATTGCTACAATCTGGTATATCATCATTGTTTGTTCTATCTTGTTGTATGTGTGGTTTCTTGGCTTTGCACCTAATGATCACATTGCTATACCCAGACAACTCACCTGGTTTGGTAGTCATCTTATGTGTTTATTGATTAGCAGCGCCGTTAATATTTCTAAGATGTGTTTTGAGAACTTCATTCATCATCTTTGTTGACTTTTTTGATTCGACCACCTGGTGAGTCTGATTCCTTACCATTCCTCTATTACGATATTTGGGAAATGTTGTGTTATTAACAGAGCAATTTGCTTAATTAGCTTCCATGTTTCAGTTTTGGTTTTCTTTTTGTCAGGTTCGGATTTCTTGTGTTTAAAGGTTTGTGTTTTAAAATTTTGTTTTATATGTTTCTTTATCCGGTTGCTTTGGGTAACATCCAAATTTAAAATTGAGTTGTTCTGGAGATCTGAATCTGAACAGTTAGAGTAATTAGGATCAGGATCATGACTACATCTAGCAGCAAACAACATCCAGTGATACAAATACTGGTAGTCATCCCTAAATCCTGAACGTAACTGTATTTCTTCATCGTAAAGAGAATTGTCTTTAGTATTTATGTTTGCTTCAGTACTCATTACTAAATTTTCTCGAACGAATGATGGGATGTATGTTTTACAATTGATGGGTGTCATGATTGTTGGTTTTTTTTCTAAATAAATATTTATCAAAAAATATATGTTCAAATGTATATATTTTTAGGTTAAGTGATTCTAATAATTTTCTTTTTGTAACGAATTATATTCGAGTTTTGTGAGGAGTTATTCAAAATAGTCTTATCTTATTTGTGCAGAGAATTCACTACAAATTATTTAATGAGCCTTTGATCTGATTTTTGATGATTAAAGGTCGGGTTTCAATGATCTATTAAATAGGAGAAAGGCAATATAAAATAGCAAAAAAGGCAGTTAAAAGACGATTTATAATGACAAAAATAAGTGCAAGTCGCAACCACGTGCCTTCTAGAATTCTTCTATAAAAGAGTGAACCTATTTTCTTAGAGCAGAAACTTGAATGTACAGAAAGAGCGCTTGACGTCAGAAGAGACCACAGGAGACAATTAAGATATTTTGCACCGAGGAAACCGACAAAATCGCTGTTTTCTATTACACAATTTATTTCTCTTAATTGAAGAAGTTTTTCTAGCTGTTTCCACCTATCAATTGACCTAATGAAAAAAAAAACACACAAAAAAACACTTTTTCATCAGGCAATTTCCTATTAAACAAACCTTTTAAGTGACAATAATCTGTTGAATATATTATCCTTTACTATAAACCCGAAATAGGAATAAAAAATAGATGGTCTGATAAAAAATATAGATAAATAGAAAAGTTGATATCAAAAGTAAAAAAGATGATAGATAATATTTACTTGATTACTATGTTATGAAACAATTATTAAATAATAACATAGATGAGTTCTGAAAACGCAATAAAAAGCAATATAACATCCAAAAAAGTATTTGATGGATCGTCTTATAGGACCAAAGAGAAAAGTAGGTCTTCATAATACGCCCGTTTTAATGATCATTCTGCGTAGTGTGTGAAATAGCTGAGGAATTAGCATGATATCAGAAAGAAATGAATTTGGATTTAAAATTAAAATCATTAAACAATCATTTCTTTTTTGGCAATGTGAACCCAGCACATCAATCAGTTCCAAGTAAACATCAAATGGGTTCACTCTTAATACTTTCTGATGTACATTTTATTCTTGGTTCGATTTTAAAAAGTATGGTTCATATTTTTTATTGCTCTTTTCATTTTTCTACCACGGACCATACTTTCGGCAGTGCATTTATTTTTATTTGATTAGTTTTGTGTCATTTTGGTGTATGAAAGGAGCCAATCAATACTGCAAAGACCTAAAAGCCTACTGAGCGTAGACTACATGTTCAATTCAACTGAATTGAAAACTGAGCAGGCACAGGACGCAAGAAGCGGACAAAATTCCAATACATACCCTCATGACGCAGAGGTTAACAGGACGATAGTCAACGTAGGCACGTAAACAGTGTAAATACCGCAGTTCTCAGCTGTGCTGGCAACAGTTCGCAGTGTTTATGCCGAGAACATTAGCCGCTGCCACTGCCGCCGCCGCCGCCGCCGCCACTTATAGGCTGAAGTACTTCTGTGTAATATCCGCAAATTGAAACCATAAATGTGAATCTGTCTTTTACTGCCCTTTCCGTCTGTACATTTTCCTTACTCTACACATCCCTGTTGTTGCCGCCAGTGCTTTGGCTGTAAATTTTTTTCCTTTTCTATATTGTTTTTGATTTTTAGTGATTATTTTGGAGTTCAGATGCATTTTTAAGGTTCGGCGACTCATTTTCATTGCTAATTTGTCTTGTGGTGTGTGTTGGCAAAGTCGTCGCCATTCCTTTGTGTTTCTTGACAATGACAAGAGAAAATTTCGCATTCGCAATGGCATCCTTTAAGTCCTGTAAGAAGTCAGACAACAGTGAGTACAAACTTGCAAAGAAATTGAATAAAAGCAGAAAATTTCGTGGCAGACGATGGGCACAATTGGATTGTGGAATGAGGCAGTCAATTTATATCCATCTGGTTATCAAATTTTTCGGTTTCAATCAAATAAAATTTTATGAGCTCATTGTTTTTGGCCCAATATTTTATTTCTTCCTAGATGTTTTGGCTTTTTCTATTTCATTTTCCTTATAAAATTTTACTGTTCAATTTTTATTATAATTTTCTTCCATTTTGCTGCCTGAAATTTATATGCGAACTAAAATTTTGTTGAAAAAAGTTGAGTTTGATGTATTATAGGAATTTGGAAGTCCATGGGTTCTGACATTTTTTCGTATTTAAATTTCATGTGGATACATTTAAGGTGATGTTTGTTTATATTTGAATGTTTTTAATTTAATTTCTATTATTTCACTGTAGACATAATAGGGTTTAAAATTTTTGTGTTGAAATAGAGGGTTTGTAACGTTCTAGGCACTGGGAATATAATTACTTTTCACTATACAGAATTAGAGTGTGTTCTTAGAAAGACTGTGAATCTAACAGAATCACGTAAGTAATTTACGGTTAAGACTGGCATCTGACTAATAGACTTGACATATTTTCATTAATATACGTAAAAATCGTATATTAGGATCAAGTTGCGATTACGCCATAGAATTATTAATATGAGGGCTTTTAATTCTGCGAGAACGTGCACCAGTTTATTTGCTTAATGTCCGGTTATAGTCATGATATATTTTCTATTTGTTCTTGACAGGTTCAGACTAGACTGGTCTTGTCGCATGTTCCAATATATATATATTGAAACATATGGTAAATAAGAAGTGAAGCACAATGAGTGACTTTTGAAAAACAGAGAAATGAGTTCAAAATTCCATGTTAAATTTTTTAATTTTAATAGAATTTAAACTTATTTCTTCATAAGTAATTATGTACAAGTAGGAGATATGGAAATGAAAGAACTGCAAAATTATCAACATATCAACATCTATTTATATTGAAAAATGATTATTTTTATATATTGGCGTATATGAGGTTCCACAACTTCGTTTCATATCAAGTCTCTGAATGATTTTGAATGTCGAATTTTCTTATTGGAAATTTTCTTGTTCTGCTACAATATTAAATAAATTTTCTTTTGGTTTACAAAATTTTGCTATTAATGTGTATACATTAGATTTCTATTCTATTCCTGTTATGCTCATTTCCTTAACGACTCTCGCTATAAAATATTTCTATATAATCCGTCAAATAACTAAGTCTTCCATACTAACAGAATATCTGCATATTGTTTATAGTAAGACAATTATTTACTACAATTCGTTTTTCATCAATGATCCCCGATTAATAGAATATGCCTGATTAGTGGAATAGCAATCACGAATAGGAGCAACGTTGTCCGTGATCTCGAACTGGTAAAATAAACTGTGAGTTGATGATAGTATATATTAGTTGAGTATTGATCATTTTTTTCAAATAAGATGATAAATTTACAGCTGAGCTTAAAATATTAGATATGGTTCAAGTTTTTGTAGCGTTGAAAAAACGATACAATATAGGATCTCCTTGCAGGACTCTCATGCATAGTTTAGTTGGTTGCATTCCAAAGAGAAAATTTCTTTTAGGTTTGTTATGAATTGGTTTCCTATAAACTTATTCACTTGTTTACTTATTAAAATTTATTTTGGAATTGAAATATTTGAATGGATATTGTACATGCCACAATTTGTTGTGCGTCAAAGTCTTGAGGAAATGTCTTCTGTTGCATACTGCACTCGTATTTCCTTATCTCAAACGGATATGGGTCCTAATTCGTTAAGGGATAAAGTCATTAACGTATGTCATTACTCATACAAAAGCTGATAATACTTAAATAGCACAACGCATAAATAATCAAGTGATATCCACACACTAACGTTCGTTTTCTCATTTTAAATGAATTATAAAAATGCGAAACAGTTTTTAAAACAACAGATAAGAGCCTTTTTTGTATAAAATTTTACATTTGCTTTAAGTGTTTTTATATATAATGAAGATATTGAAAAGTATTAGCTACAAATAAAAATTAAAAATAATAATCAATCTTTAAGCAATTACTTTATCATATCATATCGAATATACTGCCCTCTCTAAATTACAGTAACGTTAAAATTGCGCATAGAACTACAGATCTAAATACCTCGATCATACCCGAAATTAAGATATTAAGCGGACATGTTCCGTGCAGGACATAAGCATATGATGCAGATGAGAGCGAAGGAATTGGCATTCTTTACATCCAAGATATGCCTAACTCTATTTCCAAAACATAATGACAGCGTGTCCGATAATAGCTAAGCACTAGAATCACCGCCTTAAATGATATTATATGTACTGCATTTCTGACTCTACGATAAGAGTTGCTCTAAATACAGCATACATTACTTTAGTGTTTAAATGCACTACTATATTACAGTATTTACTGGATTTCAATAAAGAAGTCTGGTGCATTTGGGACTATAAAAGAGAGGGTATAGTGTACGAAGACCTCCTTTTCGAACTTAGCAGTTTGAACTTCTGTATCACAGTGTAGAGAGGTATTAATGATCGATTTCAAGACTATTATTGTATTAGAAGTGGTATTGGAAATCAACAACCCTCCAAAACGAGTTATTTGTTCGGTGTATTATTAAGGTCACTTCTCCTTAAAAACATAAACGTCTATATAATCATTCTTGTAATTTTATAAATGTGATGGTAAAATAAATTTTGTGTGCCAGCAAATATGTTGTCAGATAAGGTAATCCCAATATCCGTTTATTTTGCTTAAAGATCTAAGTATATTTAATTTATTTCTGTTATGTTTTTTGTCACCATGGGAAAGAACGTTTGGTTCCACAATGACTGTGTTTATGTGAAATATATTGTATTTCTAAACTGTATGGAAAATAAGGTCATTTACCTACTGTTATTGGTTGTAGTTATATTTCAGTTTGTGTGTGATATAAACAATTAGTGATTATACTTGATTGCAAAACCGCAAAGTAGAAATAAATGCTTGAATTTAGGTTAGCAAGTGTGCATTCTCATCGCACTGAAGCGAACCATATAAGTCTCCTCAAAGCAACTCGGTTTAGATCTTTCGGCTTGAAGTCGTAAATGTCTAATTTAAAATTTACTGCTCAACAGATGACATAATCAAATGTTCACAACTTTCTTAGTTTTTTGGTTTTTTTTGTTTTTTTGTTTTTTTTTTCGTTTTTGAATTCTTATAAGTCAACGAATTCCACATTTTGGGTGTGTTACTTGACGCTGTTGGAAACGTTCATACGATGGCAGATGAGCCACTGCGGCCCGTCTTTGACTGATTTTTGTTAATTGAGTTGTTGACATTGAAGCAAAGATGTAAAGTAATTGAAACTGACACTGGTAGTATATATCGTTTAATTTTTAATTATTAATTATTACAAACGCACACTTACAAATGTCAACAAATTAGACACGTTTCAGCAAGTCGAGACCTTCCTTCTTGTGAAAATGTCGAGAGTAAATGTCGGAATTACTTACTCAACTTATCTTATCTTCATGTGCTTGTGTAATTCCAAAATTGCGTTTGATATTAGATTTCTTAATAATATTTTTTAATTCATTTTTTTTCGTCCATTAATAAATTTCATAACCTACGCAAAAGCAAAGAGTACTTCATAGACTTTCTTACACAATTGCGGGATAACTGTGGACAAGAATATAAGATAGAATTACTTTGGACTGCATGTAAATAAGTGAATAAGTAAATATGTGCTCGTACATATGTATGTACGTTTGT